CTGCATATTCCATTTACGATTTACATGCACCAAAATTGATGCATAAATTGCGCGCTGACAAGCGAATCATCGCACCGGCACAATGAGCAGCAGGGCCCCAACAATTCGAGTACAGGCATGCATACATACATACGTACGTGCCGAGCATTGTTAGGCAGCCAAAATTTCCACGCAGGGCAGGTAAAATATCCATTTTTATGAGAATGCAGCGAGCGATATGTGCCGGTTATGCGCGAACGGAGGCTTTGTCAAAATTCAAATTGCGGCTACTGCTTTACATTGGATGGCGCTATTTTATTATAACGCATCGCTGTGTGTGCGTGCTCGTGTCGATTGTGTAGCAGCGAAAGGATATGCGCGCGACATAGTAAATGGCGCGACGAAATTGCTGCTGTATGAACTGCAATTTTGCTGAATTGGTGAAAAGCGGATGTTGCTAATACAGCAATATGTATGTATGTAAGTACTTTCGTATGTATGTATGTATGCTTGTGGCCGGGGTGTGTGTAAGTTCATTTTACATTTGGCTACTCGATGTTTTTGGCTGACGGTATGGGGGGGCTGGGTTTGAGTGTGCCATTTGATGCTTAAAACACCTCAGTCCGTGCCGATGTGCGTTTGTGTAATTTTGAAAACTTTACAATAATGGCAACACAAGTGTAATTGGATCTGCGGCACGTTGGCAGCCGAATTTGAATGAGCCCAAAAGCGATAAGTTGAAATAAGAGAAAGGTAGTGAGTGGCAACAAAATCAAATAAAATAAAATTGTATGAAAAATCGTTTCCAAAAAAATAACGACTCAAGTTTAGCAACAACCGAAAAGGAACAGTATAATAAAGCTAAGTGCAACAGGAGCGTTGAACCGATCAATAAAAAACACATAAACCAGTGAATGATGCTTCCATTGTTGGTTAACTGCGTATTGTACTTAGTTGTTTTTTCTATGTAGCAGCTTTAAAGCTCGCTACTGATTTTGTTGCTCAAATTGAGAAGCTCCACGGCTGCCGCGTAATTGACAGTTTCATTGCGTTTTGATTGATTTTTGCGGTTTGTGCACACGACCACACCGACAGACACACAACTACATACATACATACATACATCCATGTACAGCATGTTTTTTTTTTGCTCTTTTCCAATATTTGCGCAAATGCTGATGTGTTGGTGTACGCTTACCCTGCAAAAGTCGCTTCTACTTCATGCACGCATGTAAAGAGTACTCCCCAAAGGTCCAGGAGTACTCCAAAATTATCCGAAATGCATATACAAAATGTGGTCCAATTAACAGTGCAACGTCCCGGGGCAGGCCTCCAGTTCTGCATTACATTAGAGTAGTACAAAACTACCCTCCAGTACTGCTGGAGTCAATCGCTACTTTTGAACCGCTACTGCGCCGACTCCTAGGTAAGTAGCTACTCTATTAACCCGTGGTAGTGCACATGGTAGTGCAGAGTCGAACCAGTCGTAAGCAGGATAGCGAAAAACTACGACAGAGGGCGCCCATAAATCACGCAAGTGATTACTTTAGTAACTCCCGGTAGTGCAGAGAGAGCCGATGGTGACTACCGCCTAGGATATTGCCTTGTAAAAAAAGTAATCGATGAGCTACCGATTCAGCAGTCCTGTAGTCGCTCCTCTGCACTGCAGGGTACTCCAAGGGATTCCTTCACTGAGTACCTACATACCTCTTGGCAATACAGCCCCATAAATATCGCGTAGGGATTACGATCGTTACAACACGAGCAATAATCGGATAATAATAAGCTGGTGTAGAGACTCGAGTTGGTTCGCTCCTGCATTACTGAAGAGCATTTTGTAAGTACTCCAACATGGCGCAAATGGGCCACATGGTTCAAGGATAAATACACACGCAAACGCTGCGCGGCTTGTTTATACACACTTTTAAAAATTGAGTGGCGCTCAAATTTCAATTAAAGTAAAGTGTATTGGAAAGCGAGTAAAACGAGGCGCACGCACACAAACAAAAGCATAAAATCGCAAAAATGTCAACAACAGTACACATGTATGTACATATGTATGTACATATTTTAAATGTAAAAAAATACCTGCTCGTGAAATAAAATAAAATTCCATAACACTGGAGGCAGCGAATTTTCTGTTCAATGAGTTTAAAACTGCAATTTAATACTCTGTAAGTTTGGCCGACAACGAAAACGATTACAACAACTACAGCAATTGGAAAATGGCGAAAAGCAAACAAACCAACGCAAAAGCTTAGCGACCACAGCACAGAACGTTGAAAATGCGAAAAATGCTGCAAAGTGCGGATGTTAAATTCAAAATTAAAATTACTAAATATGTATTTGTTAAAGCAGCTTTTTTTTAAGTTTTTATAAAATTTAAATTAAGAAAATCAAAAGTTTAATCTTCCTAAAAGTTTAAGTTTTTTGCAAAGGTGAAGATTTACATTCTCATTTATTAGATTTTAGATATTTCGAATTGCATTGCTTGTCCATATTAAATTGTCCAGTACCTTCGCTATTTACGCACACAAATTTCTACGTTAAATACATAAATATAAATCCATTAAATTGCATTTTTTCTGGCTTTAGTATTTCTTTAACCTCAAAGGATAACCGCCTCTAGCCATACTTATTCTCTCTGCGGGATTTGATGGCTACGACGCCCGTGGATTCATTAGCCTTTCAGTGATCCACCTAAAGGATAGACGACAGCGCTTCTTGGAATGTGAGAGGACTCTAAAATTTTCCAGCTTATGTCATAGGTAAAAGGCCGACTGCTTAGCCTTAGCCGGGAGGAGCAGAGAATTCTCACTCTACACATGAAAAGGCAATGTAGCCTAAGGGACAATAGCACTCTCTGGGAAGCCGAGCTGCAGGTTTTTTGGGTCATGTATTAGTAGTCTTCGACGTTTACACTTCGAACAACAAATACCGTCTCCAACCAGAATCTGGAATGTGAGACCCACTTTACTTTATAAATAGCTTAAGAACGGAGTGACCCTTAAGAAAGTTAGCACAATAGATCCAGCTATTTAGGTTGCAGCACTAGTATTCCTTTATGTATCTTTAAAAAAGTCAACATTTCTTTACCGAGCTCCAAATAATTTCCTAACAGTGGTCACAACGAATCTTCAACCTTTTGCAGGCGGCTAAAAAATATAGATAGCTCACTTGTGGGACCACTTCAAATAAGCGATATCTATTAATAAATCAGTGACCGTAAATTAAAGCAGCTTAAGTTTAGATGGGTCAATTCCCCTTTAAAGCAATATTTCATTGGGCTCCCAAGCAATATGTTAACGACTACCTATAGTCATAGGTGTAGATTAATAGAAGCTTAAAAAAATATAAAGTTTTTCAAGGGAAACTTACTAAATATTTTTAATTCAAAGTCAAATCTCCTACATTCAATTATATAAGCTACTATAGTTGACGGGAACAGGAAGGTATAAGTATTCAGGCCACTGGGGGTAATTTTTTGTGCTTTCAAACTGAGAAGGACTGCCGTGTTCCGCAAGTGTATCTTGAAATATTTGTGTGTTCGCTAATGTCTGCATACCTACTGTCACTGGCATAACTCTTAATCTCAGACTGAAGCAGTCGGTGTACAAAATATGACCACCTTCCCAGAATTTTGTATGTTTTTGTTTCGTAGTAGAACTGCTTCATATTAATACTTTAAAAGTGTTCTCAAAGTTCAATCTCTGAAGGCGTTGATCATCTCAGAGATCCTAATACTCAAGGACTTATCAGAAGACACATAATCAAAAAAAAATTATTTCGTTCCACTGTACTCCAAAAAGAGATATGTTTCCAGCAATGATACACCAATATTGGCTCAACTACTATTGAAGTTACCCTCCCACCTTTATACATTGTACATACATTCATATGTATATATACATCACTACATTAGGATAGGCCGAGAAAAAATTGTGCTATTTAACTAAGTTGCAATTCTAGCGCTGATTAAAGTGTCCGCACCAAGAATAGCCAAAATCGGGGATTAATTTTTTTTTTTGTATGATAGATATGCATATCTGCCAGTTGATTCAATTAAGGTTTGACAGTTAACTAATTAATAATACTGAAAAAATCATGTCCAACTTTATAGTATATCCCACTTTCAAGTCGAATTGTAAATAAAAAAAGTTGAGTACTTTTAGGTCACAGGCAAAGTAGACGGTGCCCGAATCTGCCCGCTAACTTTTAGTTAGCTGTTTTGCAGGAATCCTTTACTTTGTCATTTTTTATTTTATTTTAATTAACTATGACAAAACCATACTAAAGTAAGTTGCTAAGTCATGCAGAAGCAATGCAGACATAATCTTGAGTTTCTTTGTTTTTTAAAAAGCTTCTATTAGACATCTTTATAATTCTTTGTTTTTTAAAAAGCTTCTATTAGACATCTTTATAAAAGAGCTACTTTGATAACTCTTTTTTCTGCACTTCACAGATGCCTTTTTGAATTCAGAACAAATAAAATGAAGATACAAGTTTTATATTATCATTTTGATTCTGAAGGAATTCGAATGTGGGACCACTTACAGGAAATACGTATTATTGAATAAAGTAAATACAAAGACATGTAAAAAAGTAAAACGTAAAAAAAAATCACGTTAATTTTTTAAATTATATTTTATGTCCAAAACTAGTTAGTTAGAAGCTAGTTCACACCTAATGCAGGGGTAGCCAGGTCTGACTTTTGTTCCGACCCTCGCTCTACGAAAGTAGTTAACTTTTTTGGAACAAAATAAACAGTAAATAGTCAGCGCTTCTGTTCGCGTAAACTGATTAAAGTTAGATTTAAGCTAACATAACTTCCTGCAGGGCATATATAGAAATATACCTGACCCAATGTACTTACATGTGTATATACCTGAAGGCGCAGCTACGAATATTCGATGCAAAGCCTGCAGAAAGTACATACAGGGTGGGCCAAAAAAGACCTACTAAAGTTAAACACGACAAAATTTTTTTTTAATATTATTGTTATTTTTTTCTGCTTGTTATAGTTAACCACTTGGAAAATCATAATGGATACTTACAGCAATACCGCAAAAAAACGACTACAATACGCTATTCGTTTTACACAATTCGCCACACAAATTGATTTTTTAGGTAATGTTTTGATGTCGGATGAATCGCATTTCCAAGCAAAACTGTAGATTGTGGGGCTCTGAAAATCCAAGGGCAAGGTGCGGTGTTATGGCCGAAAAAGTTAATGGCCCATATTTCTTCGAGAATGGGGATGAAACGCCAGAAACGATTTTTGGGGCTTCTTACAGAAGAATGATTGGCAACTTTTTCCGGCCAACGCCAGAGCAGCATCCTAATTTGTGGTTTCAACAAGATGGATCAGCTGCGTGAAATTGGTAGGTCTTATTTGGCCCACCCTGTCCATACATACATATAAATCTACGTATGTATATAAGTGAGCGTGTGTTGTTTGAGTTACTGCAGCGCGTGCTGCTGCATCTGAAAAAAAAAAGAGCTGCCACATCCTAACAACAAAAGTTTTCGGCTACTTTGTTTAAATAAAGTTTTCCAAAAAAAAAAGTAGCTACCCTTAACAAATGCGGGCGTTTAATAAAACCTTTGCACTTGAACGAGTATTTATGTATGCATGCATGCTGCAGCATCGCTTACACTTTGACCAAGTGTGTTCCGCGGATCCGACACAGAAATTGCGTGTGTTGTAGCAACGCGTTCCTTCGCTTCACCACCAACAAAACAACAACGCCAATCATTTTGTTGTATTGCATGTGTAACACAAAAGCGGTAACATTCGCGCCACACCTGATGCTCTTGCACATTGTGTTGTTGTATTGTGTTGTGTTGCACGTTGAAAGCGCTATTCGCCTTCATTGTGTTTATGTGTTGGCTGGCAGCGACAAGTAAACGCTCAAACACACGCAAGCATGTAGCTACAAATGTTGTTAATGCCACATGCCGTTGCATGAACGGTTCATGAACGACAGCCGAACAAGTGAATTGTGTTTTAATTACCAAGAACATTACAACAACAATATAATAGTATAACAACAAAATTGCAGGTTAATTCGGTAGCGTAAATAAATATATATACATACATATATTTACGCATATGTAAGTGTGTATGTACACATTTATTACATTTATGTATGTGTGAGTATAGCAGAAACACTTACAAAGCAGCTGAAGAACTCGAGCGCCAGTCACGCTGTTTTTTCCTCGGTGGGGACTTTCCTTGAGGCCCACTTCCTTGGATCCCTTTAATTAGCACACCACGTTGCACGCAGGCCGCCATCACACTTGGCTACTTATATATTTACTTATATTTGTATAATTGTGTTCGAGCAAGCTGAAGGTCCGCCTTTCGTTGTAACCATCTGCCAGCTACTTGTATCGGCTTAATGAAATTATGTCAGCTGTCTGTTGTTTTTCGTTGCGTTTTGTTGCTCCCTTCGATTTCTTCGATTTAACTGATTTATTGGCAGCGAACATGAATCTTGTTGCGTGCAATTGCAATATTTTATCCTATCTGTTGTTACCTCTTATAGGTTGGTACATATTCGCAGCCATTTGGCCTAGTTTTTTTTTTAGGTTAATTAGCTTTTGTTAAAATACATATTTATGTCGATATGCATGTATATCGATTTATTTAGTAACATAAACTTTTTGCCACATACGTTAAATACAAAACTACATATGTACATACATATAAGTACTCTCGTAAATATTACATTATAGTTTTCACAGCAGCTGCGAAGGAGCAGAAAGAACATTCCCCCAACACCTACAATAATCCAAGATTCTAGGTCGCTGCTTGCAAGTAGTCTTGTTAGGCCAGTGCTGAAATATTCTGATGAAACTCAGAGCTATGAGAATTTCCTTTGCAACTCTAATGTAATTTTATCGCGAAACCCTCCTTTGGCTGCTAATTTCGATTACTAGGCGTCATATGGTAAAGACTTGGTATTTTCAGTGCATACTAGGCCGTTATTAGAGCTGTGAGCTCCACCAGGCATAAACAAAAAAACAAAAAAAAAGTTTGTTTGACTGGCGCCGGTCTCTACTGCAGACCAATTTTGGCCTCATTTGGGTTCCTAGTCGCAGAGGTAAAGAGCGGATTTGGAAAGCGAGGGCACTACCAAGTAGATTCTTCCAGAAAATAACTTGCACGCCTGACACTCGCCAATTCCGAGCTACTTTTGAAAACATTTTTCGCTCCAGCAAATGATATAGGTAAACACAGACCTGTTGTAGGCAAACCTGGTCAAGGTGGAATTTAAAGAGTAATCGAAGTTTCTTGTAGGTAAATACGATATTATAAAGAAGAGGAGAAATTACTGATTTTGTCTGTAATTGTTCTCAATTGGATGAGCCTGCGGCACCTTAGGCCGCCATTCTTAAAACAATCTGTGCGGAGTGGCAAAGACATTAAATGTTTCAGCAAGAGGAGTAAATTTCAAGCCGTGGTATTACATGGAGCCTCTCACTTTATGCATTGCTGAATTCATACAAGTAACACTGTAGGAACGCTAAACTAAAAGAAAGAAACACCGAAACATGTAAACTTAATTTTAGGTCGCAGATTACCGATCTATACCCTCTTTCTAGATCAGAAAATTTTCCCAAGATATTTGCATTTTAAGTTTACATTGTGAATGAAAAAAAAACTTTAACCTTTAAAAGGGAAAATGTCTAGAAATAACAAACTTGTACACGGCGTATGAGTTACATTCTTCCTACTCATATTTCATACAAAATATGCCTACACAATTTTATTTGACCATTCACAGCTTCTTTATTTATCCATCGATTTTCTTTGTTATTGCTTGATTTTTTGTGAAAGAACGGGCTTTAATACAAATGGGAAAATTTACAAAAAAATCTGTTACTTTTTAAATATTATCCTGTTAAAGATTTAATATATTTCCCATAAAAATGAAAATATTTTGGTAAACTGATCTGATCTAGAAGAACAGAATACAGATTCATAATCTACGACTCAAAATCAATTTCACGTGTTTCTGCGTCTTTTGTGCCATCTCAAAACTTGAGATTTCGCTTACAGTGTAATTGAGTACAACAGCGCTTAGATTTTTTTTTAATTCTGTATCGTTTTGCAGGCAGCCTATCGATTACAGTTTAGAAAAGTACGAGTATACATACCTAATTGTATGTGTGCACATAATGAACACCTGAAAGATATTCGGCAATTTCTAACTTTTTAATTACAAGCAAAAAGTTATTTAAAGTACGCTAACTACAACAAGTAATTTTTAAGCAAAAAATACGACTTCAATTCACATATACAAATTTAATTTCCATCATCCAATGCTCGGATCTGAACCAAATTAGTATGGGACCACCTCTGAGATATCATATTAAAAAAAAAAAAAGAATTAGAGAAATCGGTCAACGTAGTCCAAAGTTATGCGGTAACACACATACTAAAACAAAATATTCCGTCGAATTGATAACCTACTCCTTTTTTGAATTCGGTTAAAAAAGCAATGATTATGGAAGCGTAATCTGGATTGGCGGGAAATAAAATAGGGACGCGATATTTTACCAAGTTTTGGCTATTTTTATTTTGTACCTTTTTTTTATGTAAGTGTAGCTCCTTATCTAACAAAAACCGTGTAAAGTCGAAATTCAAAATTTGTAAAAGAATTAGGAAAATTCGACAAATATTAAATTTTTAGTCAGAATCTATAGAAAATATTTGGTATGTAGGTTTGTAGCCCATCAAATTTGACTATCACAAAGTGTAAGCTTGAAGTAGCTAGTACTTACCATTGTTTTTTGGAATTTTTTTCCTGACTGTGTCACGTATTTTCTTCCACATAAAGGATGTTCAACAATTTATATGGAGGAAAATGCACAAAACTGTCAGGAAAACAAATTGCCTAAAATTAAAAGTATATCCTAGTTACTTCAAGCTGTACATATGTAATTGTACTACAATTAAATGAGCTACAAAGCCTACAATATTAAATAAATGAAAAAAATAGTCTTAAAATGTCGCATCCCTATTTGTCTGCCTGCCACAGTATGTACTAAATATTTACTTGACACTACTTATCAGCTGTTATGGCAATACGTTTGGAGAAATTCTACTAAAGCTGTTCCTTTAAATAATTAAAATCATACTAATTTTTTCAAGATATTTATTCCGAGTTCATATAAAATATGTTTTATTGCAACTAAAAATGCTTATTGAAATTAATTTGTAATGTGAATAATATAAATTCTTGATTGACCCTGTAACCACCTAAGCGATTTTATCCAAAGGAGGATGGTTCCGTGCGCAGAGGTCCACTTAAGTGGGGAGAGCTTTTGAATGCCATTAACCAGGGAGAGAGTAGCCAGAAGTGATTCTATTTTGTCCATGTATCCTCTGGCTTCCGGTTGGGAGCGACCTAAAGTGAGATGGCGAAAAACCTCGCTTATACTGGGTTTGGGACCCGTTACCGAAAACCCCTCCCAATGAATAGAAGAAATATGCCTCGGAATATAAAATTATACATTTGCATTAATTGCAAATAAGAAAAGCGCTTCTAGAAGACTTGCACATTTTAGCCCTCCTTGGGCAAGCCTTTTAGCCTACTTCAATTACCTTACCGGTTTTGGCTTTCGGCTGGCCTAGAGCTCAACACATTGAGCCAAACTGAAGGAATGAATGGAATTTTTTATGTTTATTCATTTTATCATTTAGTTTAAAAGTTTCATATGTATGTATATATACAAGTATTACAATTCAAAATTTTAGGTGCCCCAGAAACCGGGTGTAAGTGCATTCAGTGCATGACCAACATTTTCACACAAGCGGAAGTTCGTCGAGTTAGGCGGTGGCATTCGTTGTTTTTTTTTAGATTCTCATGTATGCCAACGCCAAGTTCCGGTTTCATTTTCCGCTGTAAGTAACGCCTGCTACAGCCAATACGCGACACTGCGGGAAAAAGTGACCATGTACCACATATTTACAATGGCGACTGTACAGAAAAAAAACAACTGAGATCAGCGAGTATAATGGAGGCCAAGTGATGGATGCCGTTGGTCGAGTGGTGTGGTAAAATCTGGTGAAGTAAGTGGCATTACATATATATCGTGCCTCTAACTTTAAATCCAGACAGCCATAGAGCGGAACACATATATATGTATGTATGACTGTGTCGTT